CCCCCTATAAAAACTCAACAAACTCAACTGAGTTAAGCGTTCGATTTTGATTGGCTTGAATCGACCATTGAAGGCTGGCTTTTTGGAGCTGAGAATTGGCAGCAACAGGAGAGATCCTTGGGCGAGCTTTTGAGGGGATCGACATCATCCTCCAACGAAGATTATCTTCAACTTCGACAACAGAGAGCTTTGATCCTTGGCTTATCAACCGAACTTTCGGTTCAAATCAACTCTTTTTCAAGAGTTCAAACTCGATCAGAGTTATCAACTCATCAAGAGTTTTAAACTTGCCACGCAAGTTCTCCACAACGTCAAATCGTGAAGAGAAGACATCGTTCCAGTGAATCAAGACGTGCGGATCGTCAACGGAGAGCAAACTCGACGCGAGCATTCGAGGGAGGCACTCCATCGCCACCGTGAAGAACCTAGTTTTAAACAAAGAGGAAGAACCAATTGCGTTCTCCTCTCTTTTGTAATCGAATTGTAACCGAGATTAAAAGAATCAAAGTCAAATTTCTTTTCTTCTCTTTACTGCAATTTTCCGTTGAGAGTTAGAACTTTTCATGGCCTGAGAGAAGTTGATTGGATCATCTTCCAATATTCCATTACTTTCCTCATGTTCTTGGAGAAATATAATATAATCATCCGAAATAGCATTTCTCCTTTCTCTCGTGGATCTCCTTAATGGCACTGGTTCTTGAGGTTGTTGAGTTTGTTCTTCTGGAACAGGGAGTTGTTCAACATTGTCATCTTGAGATTCCGGATTTACTTCTTGAGCAACAACATGTATAGGAACCTGAATATTATCAAAAGTAACTGTATGGATTGGATCTGATGCCAATTCCTCCTCAAAAGCAGTGTCTCTAATCTTATTTTTTCCCCCCAAACTCAACATCTTCAAAGAATGTTGCTGTTCCCATCTCAAAAATATTTCTTAGTGTAGGATCATAAAACTTATAGCCCATAGAGCGTTCAAAGTATCCAATAAAGTAGCTGCTAATTGTTTTGGAGTCCATTTTTTTCATTTGGCCTATAAGGCCTTACCTCAACTGGACATCCCCAAATATGTAAGTGTTTTAAACTGGGCTTTCGACCAGTCCAAAGCTTATAAGGTGTTTTAGCAACTGGTTTACTTGGTATTCTATTCAGAATGTAAGCTGCTGTCTTAAGTGCTTCTCCCCATAGTGACTCTGGTAAAGAAGAATGAGAGATCATACTTCTTACCATATCCTTAAGAGTTCTGTTTCGTCTTTCAGCTACACCATTCATGCTAGGTGAACCCGACATGGTGTACTATGGGACGATACCGCATTCCTCTAGGTATCTAGCAAATGCTCTTGGACGTTGTTCACCTGAACCATCATATCTGCCGTAGTACTCACCACTACGATCAGATCTAACGGTTTTAATTCTTCTGTTGAGTTGATTCTCAACTTCAGCTTTATAGGCTTTGAACATGTTCAGAGACTCAGATTTTTTATGAATATGATATAGGTACCCATAACGTGAGTAATCATCTATGAATGATATAAAATATTATTGACCATTTCAGGATGCCGTAGGGAATGACCCACAAATATCCGTATGTATCAATTCTAAGACATCCGAAGATCTGTTGGCACCTAATCTCTTAACTTTGGTCTGTTTTTCCTTGATACATTCAACACATATGTCGAAGTTCGAAAAATTAAGGGAATCCAAAATGCCATCAGACACAAGACGCTCTAACTCTACCTTTTGAGATATGACCCAAGCGCTTATGCCATAATGTCGCCGAATTTTTCTTATTTAATTTACGCTTAGTACCACGTGATTCCACATGCAATGATTTATTATAAGAAGCAATTGTATCGAGCAAATATAGGTTGTCATAAGTACTCAAGTAACCAGTTCCCATAATATTTGAATTAAAAGATAAACTGAATTGATTGTTTCCAAATGAACAAAAATAACCTGATTTGTCCAATACAGAAACTGAAATCAAATTCCGTCTAAAAGACGGTACTACAAAAGTATCTTTCAAATCCAAATAAGAACCAGTTCCTAATAGCAACCTAAAATGTCCAATTGCTTCCACATCTACCGATTGTTCGTCGCCCACAAAGATGTGTCTTTTAACATCACTTGGCTTTCGGTAGCTCAAGCAACCCTGCATAGAATTACTTATGTGAGTAGTAGCACCAGAGTCTAACCACCAAGTGTTTTTAGGTACTGAAGCTAAATTAACCTCAGAACAGACCAAAGTAAGGAACGTACCCTTATTAGCACGCCAGACGTGATATTTGGTACAATCCTTCTTTACGTGTCCAAGCTTGTTACAGAAGAAACAATCCTGATTATCATTATGTTGTTTCTTCTGAACTGGACCCTTAGCAGCTTCATTATCATTCTTTGTTTTCTTGCCCTTATCCTTAGAGGCATAGGCCAAATAAGCACTTTCTGTCTTATCTTGCTTCAACCTGTCCCTTATCCTTAGAGGCATAGGCCAAATAAGCACTTTCTGTCTTATCTTGCTTCAACCTGTCTTCTTCTTACACACAGTATGAAATGAGCTCATTTAGTCTTGCTTCAACCTGTCTTCTTCTTACACACAGTATGAAATGAGCTCATTTAGAGTCCATTTCTCTTTTTAGCAGTTATAACTAACATTAAACTGATTGAATTGTACAGGAAGAGACAACAAAACCAGATACACCAATAACTCATCACAAAGATCGAGTTTAAGTGCCTTAAGCTTTGAAGCAATATGAGACATTTCTATAATGTACTCCCTGATATTTTCTTTGCTCTTATACTTCATTGAAATCAAGCGAGCTAAAAGCGTGCTTGTTTCTACTTTATCGTTTTTCGTAAAACGTTTCTCAATTTCGGCAATAAAATCTTTAGCCTTAGTAATCCCTTCGGATTTTATGCCCCTGAAGGCTTCCGGAACGCCGCGCTTAATGATCATAAGACTCATGCGATTTGAACGCTCCCACTTCTCATACTCATTCTTTGCATCAGGAGTGTTATCCGCATTGAGAGGTTGGGGTTGTTCAATTCTTAATGCAAGGTCTAGATCCATGCAGCCAAGAACAATTAATATGTTCTCTTTCCAAACCTTGAAGTTTGTCCCATTTAGCATGAGAATTGAGTTGATGTTAGCAAAAATTGTTGCAGCAGATGCATTAGCTGAAATAAAACAAAAAAGCTCACACCAATAACCATAATTAGTAATCAATAAAATTCAAATAATGACAAATCCCATCCAAGATATCTGGCACAACATTAATATCAAGTCTTTGGACAGTAATATTAACTTGTAAGTGATACCTTGTTGTAACGATCAAACATTGACAATAACTCATGTCAAATAATAAAACTATCTTTGGATCGATTCATTATTCACATGTAAACCTTATAATTATCACATGTTTATCATCGCAGATGTGTATGCAGTCTAAATAAATATTAAACTTCCTTTGGGCCGATTAAATATTTACATGAAAGTATACACACAAACATCTCACATTCCTCATAAACAATCTACACAAGAGAGGTTACTTTGGCAACTTCTTGTTTTAATTAAACAATTGGAGTGAGAGACAACCTTAATACCTTAGTGTCATAATATTTGAATTAAATAATTGATTAGCTGCCAAATTAAATTTAAATTAAATTAAATTTCCATAGCTTAAATAGGGCCTCATTGCTTAGTTAGAGCCCATAACTTAATTGAATAAATTAAGTATACCAAAGTGGACCCATAAAAAAACCGAAACTTAAGCATAGTGAACACGAAGTTCGCTTGACTTCGAACGCAAGGTTCGACTGTATTGAGTACAAGACTCACCTAAGAACGAACGCGAGATTCGTTTGAAAAATGAACGTGATGTCTCACCTAAGAACGAACGCGAGATTCGTTTGAAAAATGAACGTGATGTTCAACTTGAGAACGAACGCGAGGTTCGTTTGGATTGAGCACAGGACGTGATGTTCAACTTGAGAACGAACGCGAGGTTCGTTTGGATTGAGCACAGGGCTCGCCTGAGGATGAATGTGGAGTTCGACCTGAGAATGAACGCAATGTTCAACTTGAGAACGAACGCGAGGTTCGACCTGAATTGAGCACGAAGCTCACCTTAGAACGAACGTAAAGTTTGTTTAAATTGAGCGCGCGGCTCACCTTAGAACGAACGCGAAGTTCGTTGAAGCTTTCAAACTTCGCCAAAAAATGAGGTAATCACCTCCTTAATTCCCGCAGGTTTTCACGCACGAACCCTTAGGGTTTCATTCTGAAACCGCCGCCGCCATTACTCCTGCACCCAAGGTCGAAACCCTAGGTTTTCCTGACACCGCCGTCGGAGTCGAGAGCGAGGCCGCCAGCGAAACTTCGTCGACGAGGAGCATGAGACCGAAGACCAAACCCAAAAAATCCAAAAATTCCTCGATTTTATTTTCAAAACCAGATCCAGAATCGAAAAAAAACAAAGGATGATTTCTTGATCCATATCCCAAAAAATCGTAGAAAAAAAAACTTTACTGTTCACGGTGATTTTTTTACCGTTCATCCAAAAAATAAAAAAGTTACTGTTCATCCATGAACAGATCTGAATAATACAAATTAAGATCAAAGAATCCTAATTTTAATCTTAATCTCTTAGAACAAATCAATGTGACTCTGATACCACTTGATAGATCTAATAAGAACTTGAGATCTAAACCTTAAAGCCATGATTAATTCAAAGAGATTAATAATAAGAATCAAAAGGTACGGAAGCATATACCTAAATCCATTGAAGAAAACATGATCAGAGTTTTGATGATCTTCTAACCTTAGGGTTTCTCTAGCCAAATTTCTCTCTAGATGGGGGTAAAGAGAATTAAAAGATATAACCCTAGATTAGAGACCATAACCCCTTATTTATAGGTGTTGTACATTTATAATTTGACTCCTCATCAAATTACAATTACAACCTGGTATATGTACATATAACCCCATGATTATATTTAAATACCCATTAACCCAAATTGATTAATCACTTTAGTGGTTTATCCTAAAGGATAGCAATACACACAGATTAATCATACGTGCCCACAAATAGATTTAATTAGATTTAAATCCAACATCTCAAAGCTGCAGCCATCATCTCAACCCCCTAGACTTTCCTTCTCCAATGAATATTCTTCCTCTTAAGACTTGGTCCAATTTCGACTTCCAACTGTTTTGACCTCACCAAGTTACATCTCTCCATAAGCACCCACATATTTCACCCAAACATTCAAGCAATTAAAAAAGAGAAAACACTCATATCTCCTCATTTCCAAGTTTACAATTCAATTCCGAAGCTGAAGGTATGGTTGAAGACGGATTGAAGCTCTACGGAACAAAGCTTAGCCCATTTGTGCTTCGTGTCGAATGGGCTCTTGAGGTCAAAGGCATCAAGTACGAATATGTCACCGAGGACCTCAAGAACAAGAGCCCCCAACTCCTGGAGTACAACCCTGTTTACAAAATGGTTCCGGTTCTCGTCCACCACGAGAACCCAGTATGTGAATCAATCATGATTCTGGAGTATATCGAGGATGTGTGGAAGAATCATGGATCCTCAATTCTCCCCTCGGATCCATATGAGAGGGCCGAGGCTCGGTTCTGGGCTAAATTCTCTGAAGAAAAGGTTTGTCTCCCAATTCATCAGTAAAAAAAAAATCAAGAGTTTAATTGCACACAGACCCCCCTGTGGTGTTGCTGTTTTGAACTTTACCACCCCTCTAGCTCCGCTGTTGCAGATAGACCCCCCTGAATTGAATTTTTTTTGGCCCTTTTACCCTTGGTGAATATTTGGCAAATATTGCCCATGGGTGAAATTAGTAAATACATCTAATGGTAAAAAAGTCAAAAGGGCTTAACCAAGGAGTCTATCTGCAAGAATGAAACTAAGGGGCAGTAGGTTCAAGAAAATAATAATAGCGGGTTCTACGTGCGATTAACCCAAAAACCAATTAGATTGGTTGCTTATTTCTCTTTTCCTTCAGCAGTGCCTGCAGGGATGTTTCGAGGTGTTCTCAAAGACTGGTGAAGAGCAGCTCAAGGCCGTAAAGGAGCTTCAAGAGAGGCTTAAAACACTTGAAGAGTACCTTGAAGGCAAAAAATTCTTCGGTGGTGAGACTATCGGGCTGGTGGATATTGTTGCAGGCTGGATTCCTTCTTGGATTCCCATCATAGAAGAGATCGTTGGCATAAAGATAGTAGATGAAGAGGAGCTGCCATTGATATATGCATGGATGCATGATATCTTGGAGTTGGACCTAGTGAAGAAGACCATGCCTCCTTTGGATGAAGTGAAGACTCACATGAGAAACATTAGAGAGGATGTTCTGAGAAAAACCAATTGATAGGCTATACTTTATTCACCCCAACCGAAAGGACCTTGTTCTGTCCCGAATAATTGCCTTTCAATCTTCTTTCAGTAATTTCCACAGTAATAAAATGCATTACCATCTGTATGGAAAAATAATGAATGGTATAATTTGTACCTGATATCAGGAATTTTATGAATCTCGCCTTCAGCATCCATGGGCTGAGCAGCCTGTGGTATTTCAATGGTTCATTGCTGTAAAGGGTAGATATTGTTGAGTAAGATTCTGCAATCTGCTGATATGCCATTCACATCTTGCCATTCATCATTGTCCCAGTCTTCTTTCGTGTAATGGAATACGAGATTCAGTTGTAGAATGGTTGTGTTAGGATTGAACCTGACAACGGACTTACTGGGACAATAGTCTGAGATGAGGCAAAGTTATGTGCAAAACTGATGCTAGCTACATCAGCTAAAATACACAAAGGGAAGCTTCGACCAAGGTACATATGAATCACCAATAATGAGTGAAAAATGACTTTAAAGGAGTAGGGCATGATATCAATTTCTTAAACATATCAGAGTTTCTCGGTTGGTTAGCCTGCTGTATTAGCGCTCTAACCTCCTCATCTAACTCGATTTTATCTCTCTCCATCATCTCAATAATATCCAGAGCTTTTGCCTCCAGATTTATGTGTGTTCTGAGAGCTAATTTGTACAATGGCAAGCTCATCAAACCAAGATCCTCAAGAACCTTTATGTACCTTCTCATTTCCCCAATATTGCATTGCTCCTCAAAATACTCTGCAATAGCCAAAATAATTTTCTCAGGTGGCTTCCATATACAACCCTTCAGCTTAGAGAAACCCTTCCTCATGGCTTCTACAGCTTTATCCATCTGCCCATTATTCACCCAACCCTCCATCAAAATCTCCCAAGTCTTGTAATTTGGAACAGCACCTCTCTCCAACGTGTAGAGATGAAATGCTTCAGCCTTATCCATCCATCTATTCCTCATGTAAGCACCCAGAAGAACATTAGAAACCCTAACATCATAGTTATGACATTGCAGCTCCCATTCTCTGAAAATTCCCTCCGCTGCTTTTAAATCACCAATTTTGATCAAAGATAACATAACTGACATATAATTAGCACAAGTGATCCTTGTTGGAACCCTTTTACTGGATTCCCAAACCCGTAAAACCCCGGCTCCATCTTTCAGTGCAGCATAGCAAGTCATGATGAAAGAATAGGCGAGCCTATTGCTCACTGATAGCATCCTTTCAGCAACCTTTAGGACAGAAGAAGCCTTGTCAAAATGACCAGCTTTGGTATAGATGTTAGCTAAAGTAGCATAAGTGCTCCAACCCACCTTAACATTCTCGTCATTAATCATGTCCTTATAAACCATCTCCACTGAAGAAACACCAGAAATTTCACCGCTGGCATTCAACCAAAGGCTATAAGAAAGACCAGTGAGAGGGATTTTGCTAAGTTTCATATGTCTTATTACAGAAAGTACCTCATCGAATTGACCTGTGGCCACATAGAGCTTCATCATCTCATTGAAAAGATGAGGACTCACAGCTAGTCCTGAATTGAGCAGCCTCTGCATAAGTGCCTCAAGCCTCTGCATAAGTGCCTCAGCTTTCTTCAAGTTTCTATCCTTCACATAAGAATGGAGGAGAGGGAAAGCTGCAGCTTTTTGTGAAGAACTAGTAGATAGCCTATCAAAATAGGCCTCTGCCTCAGATAAACTGTGCACTTTGGTAATCAGTTCAAGTTTAGTGGCGTGATCAGGTGCTCTCATCTGAAAATTGCCTTGAGATTCCATCCATGTCATTATCTGCAGCAGGAGGGATAAATGTTTAGGCTGCTGGTCACCTGTAAAAATCAAGCGCAATTGCCATATATAACTTTGCAGGAGTCAATACACATTTGCTTATAGTTAAGTGAAAAAAGACAACGGCCAACTTCAATTTTAAAGCATGGCAGAATTTTAGGCATACATCAACTATCAAAATAAAACTTCAGAAATAGAAAACACTATTGTAATTGCCCATTGGGAAGAGACAAGCATACTATGGTAAAAAAAAAACTGCAATTAAATGAGATAGAGATGCACGATTAATCAAGTGGAGGTAAACATCATTGACAAGAAAATAGTGAAATAGTCACTCCACATGTGAAGGGTAAATAAATATTAGAGAATATTACAACACAACATTTGTTATTAATTTTAGATGCTAAAACTGCTTTAACATGGAACAAATTATATGTTGCAAGATTCACTGAAATTATTGATCGTCAAGGCTGCTTGAGAGTTTATAATTCCTCTGTAGCATTAGCCCTTGAAAAGATTCGGCTACTTCAAGTAAACCGGCCTTCACAATAGCATCCAAAAGGCGATTGCAAGCAGACAGATCAAATTCAAGGACTTTTGATTGCGTCCACTCATCAATAACTTGTCCAGCTTCCTTCAATTGCCCAAGCACGAGATACGAAGACAAAATACATGCATAATTTCTGCCTGTCATTTTCTGGGATATCATTTTCAAAGATTTCCATATTTCATTTATTCCTTCTTTATTTCCAAGGCCAGAATACAGAATGATTAGGAAATCATAAGTTATCCATTCTCTCTGACTAATCTTTTTTTCAGCTCCAACAAGCGAATTATCTGAACTCATAAGATGACCAGCAGTGACATATATGTCAGCCAACTTAATATATGTTTTCCATCCCTCATGAATGTTTGAACTATGAGACATTTCATCAAGGATCTTTCTTACACCTTTGACATCCAAACTAGCAGCAGAAGCACTTATCCAGAGGTTATAAGTAAATAGATCTGGCGCAACTTCCTTTCTTTTCAGTTCTTCAATAACTAAGGGAACCTTTTCCAGCTGCCCAACTGACATATAAAGTGTCATCATCTCATTGTAAGTTAAAGCATTTGGAGAGAAATTTGATTCCTTGATTCTCTCAAACAGGTTCTCAGCTTTTTCTACCAGCTTTCCTCTCGCATATGCATGGAGAAGGGCAGTGTATACATCACAGGATTTTGCAGTGGATGGAAGCCCTTCAAAAAATTCTTCAGCAGCATTTACTCCAAAAACCTTGGTTATCAAGTCTATCCGCATTGCGTAATCACTATCAGACAACTGATATTCTTGATGGGATTTCATCCATTCTGATATCTGCAAACTTGCATCAGTTTCGAGAATGATAGAAACAACATTCTAGCATTTGCACACAAAAATGTAGTGATCTTCATCTAATCATTTAAAATCAGATTTAATGTTCACTTGAGAATAAGTATGTATGACAGGATCTTGATCCTCTCATATTGTTTTCGACAGGACGTGCCATTTTGTTAACATAATTGTCCACTACTTTGTGGACACTTGTCTCTCTTTTCGTACATAAAGAAAATCACAATAATCACAACACAGTTTAGGCTGGGCAGGGGGGTTAAGATTAACACATTGGACTATCCAATACCAAAAAAAGCAGATGAGAGACTCAAATCCATAGAAATGTTGCGAAAGCAAGTAAAAGGACAATATAGGCTACAAGACTGCATAAGTTATCAAATATGGGGACACTAGGAGGTATAATAGTTACAAAGACTAAGGGTAATAAGGACTGAAAGCATGCTACCCTCATCTCACCAAAACACAACAATACTATGAAAATATTTATGCACATAAATTAATGTTGCCATAATTCAATGTACATATCAAAGTGGTGTTTGTATTTAAGGACAGGTCCCAGGACTGGAAAACTTCCACTCAGATATTGACCAGGATTCATGGAAGCTGCTTGAACCAGTTTAGGGGTTCAAGGATTCGGTCATCAAGGTATGAATAAGTTAGCATAAAGAAAATTTCCAGCCTCCTTGATTATGTGTATACAGTGTATTTCATATTCAATTGAAGAAAATGTTGGTCTTATCTTTCAAACAGCCTATTCATGGAGATCTGCCAATCTAATAAAGTGCATTATACTTCAGAGGTATATTCTACAAACTACACTATTATCGGGATGGGACTCATGCAGGTTGTTATATATGAAAAGGTTATATCCATTCTGCGCTCTTTGACATATCCACAAATAACTATGAGATTAACTTCCCTATTCATGTACACAATGGCCACATTAACTATGATCGAAACATTCAATTTTATTGCCTTGCGACCTGAACCAAAGCACCCAAATGCATTTTATGCCGTATGCATCATCTATGTTTACCAATCATCAATGGGTCAGAAGAGAATTTAGTAGAGTTAGGTGCTTAGCTAATAAGTCGGAAACTTCCTTGCCTTGATTATGAGTACCTTAGTGCTTAATATTTTGCTCCACAAGAATATCTGTAGGCTACATAAATCCAAAATCCCACCTTAATCCAAAAAATATGAGATAAAATTCATTCGAAAAACTAATCTATATCTATACACAGAGAAAACCCTATATACCCGAAGCCCAACCTTAATCCTAAAAATATGAGATTAAATTAATTTGAAAAACTAACCTATATCTACACATAAGGTGAATGATAATGAACGAATGATATCATTTAAAAAATTAATTAGATTAAATGACAGCAATATCTAAAGCAATGCCATCCCAATCACATTCACCGAAATCATATCTTTCATCAAAGACTTCGTTTTTACTCCATCTCAAATTGGATTAAAGCAATACTAAACTAAAGAGCAATCCTTTTAATACTTTCATTGTAGCCCATTACCGATCTCAATTTTACTAACAACATAAGAAAATGTTCAAATTTCATCCAGCTAACAAAAAAAAAAAAAAAAATTGCAACTTAAACCCACTAACCTCAAGCGCGTGCTTGTACCGCTTCGATCGATTCAAGTCCTTCGCAATCTGCCGGAGCTCCGACTGCGCAACCGTATTCCCCTCCCCGACCCACTTATCGAGAGCTGACGTGGCGCTCCGCTTGGGGAATCGGAGCCTAAAGATCCGGCTCCGCAGATCATCGTTCGGGCTCGGGGTTTCGGGCTCGGAGTCGGGTTCGGGTTCCGGCTCGACGGATAGAGTGAAGCTTATCGGAGTTCCGCCGCCGGAGGAGAAGGATCGAAGGGGGAGCGATCGAAGGTTGTTGAGGAGGGAGCGCCTGAGGAGAGAGGAGAGGGGCATTTTGGGAATCGGGTAGGGTTTGGTAGAGGGTTTAGGGTTTGCGTATTTATTGACGTGGCTTGGGATGGGCCTGGTTTGGATGGGCTAAAGCCTACTGCATGGCTCTATCAACATTGGCAACTAAATATTTGGGGCAGGTTTGGCAATTTGGATTATAAAATTATAATTCGTTGGGTTTATAATCCACGCTATAAGCCAGGTAAGTTATAAGCCGAAGTATATAGTGAATTTACTCATTTAGTGGGCTGTAGAAATTCACTTTTGTAAAGTAATTGGCAAATGAGTGACTTAAACGTCTTTTTCTTTTTCTAGGAAACGGATGGGGGCATCAGATTGATACCTCCGCCCTTCTATTACTAATCAAAGCGGTTGTTATAAAGTTAAAATCATACTCCCAACTCGAAATGTATCGCTATATGGTTCTAAACATATTTACAAAAGTATTCACACGCCCAGAAGTACCAGAGATAGCTGGAAAAGACAAAACCCAAACCAAACTAGAAGTCATCATTATCGTCAAAATAACCAAAAAAAAAAAACAATTAATAAGATCAGAGAGATATAAATAGGGTTTGAAATTATAAACCACATTTGCCAAACACGTCAAAGTGACTTATAAGCCACATTTTGTGGCTTATAAATCACTTTTTACTACTTGCAAAACATGTTCTGAGATTCACGCGCCATAAAAAATGACAAAGATTTTTATGTCCCCAAAACAAAAAAGTTATTGAGATGTGTTAAATGAAAAGGAGTAAATGATAACTGGGGCGATGAAGCCAATGTTATTGAAGGAAAGAATCTCGACTGATTAGTAATTGATTAGATGACATCCTGTAATTGTTGTCATTGAAACAACTTACTTAGAATAACTCCTAGATTAGTGGAGTTATTATGTGTAATCATGTATTTGCTGTCTTACCTAAAACTACTCCTAGATTGGTGGATGATAAACTATATATATGCTGTAAGACTTGGTATAATAAAAGTACAGAAAAATAATTCTCATCTTAAAAATCTTTCTGGTATCAGAGCAAGGTTCTTGAGAACCTAGAAATTCATACAAACAAAATACCTCATGGGTGGTGACGAAGAGCAGAGATTCATTGAGTCCGGAAAGGGCATGGGCTTGATGTATGATTTTATTTGCTAAAAACTTTGACATTCGATTCTCTTTAGTGGACCTGATTTTTTGTCTTTATCTTTATTATGATTCCTCATTCCATTTGAAATGATTGACCATAATACTCATGGAATTTTTGGCAAACCCCCAGCCTTCAACGGGTTTGGGTGCAGTCAATGGACATGGCGCTCACCATCAAAAACAAGAAGGGTTTCATTGATGGAACCCTAAACCGACCAACTCACAATCCTAATGAACAACTGCAATGGGACCGATGTAACGTCCTTGTCAAAACCTGGTTGTTAGCAGCCTTTTCAAAGGACATCTCAAGCAGTGTCATCCATTGCAAGGATGCTAGAGATATGTGGTTAGAGTTGCAAGAGAGATTCTCTCACACTAATACAGTTTCATTGTTTCATGTAGAGAACGCCATACATGAATGTGAACAGGGCACAGACTCAGTCACCTCCTTCTTCACAAAACTCAAAAGCTTATGGGATGAAAAGGATGCTCTCTGTTCCTTTCCAACTTGTACATGTGAAGCAGCTGCTGAAGTTAAGAAGTTCATGGAGACACAAAAGACCATGAAATTTCTTATGGGGCTTAATGAGAATTATGCACAGACCCACAGCAACATAATAGGGTTGGATCCACTTCCGAACTTGAACAAAGCCTATGCCATGGTACTACGCCAAGAGAAGCATGCAGAGACTACTGCTGGCAAGTCCATGACACCACCAGAACCCTCTGTTTTTTCAGTAACGAAGGAGACTCGTGATTTCAAGTCTGTAGAAGGAGAGGCCAAATTCTGTAAAAAAATGCAACATGACCAACCACAACACAAAGAATTGCAGAGCCCATCTCAAATGCACATATTGCAATGGCAAGGGACATACGTATGACTACTGTCGAAGGAGAAAGAATGCTACTGAAAGTGGCCAAGTAAGATCAAAAGCAAATCATGTAGCCCCTCAAAATGATCAAAAGGAAGCTATGGCTGACTTCCCATTTTCTCGAGAAGAGTGTCACCAACTTCTCAATCAGCTCCTAACCAAAACAAAGACTGCTTTAGCCAACTTGGTCGGTAACATTCCCAATTATGAAGAACTTTCAGGTAAAATTTCCTCCTTGTCACAAAGCAGTAAAAAGCCAATATGGATATTAGATAGTGGTGCAAGCGATCATATTGTTTGTAATCCCAGCTTGCTTACCTCATTCAAGTCAGTCCCTAATCGTTGGGTCAAGCTTCCTGATGGCACCACAACACATGTTACTCATGTTGGCACCGTAGCTTTCTCCCCACATTTTGTTCTTCATAATGTCCTATGTGTTCCCTTGTTTTATCTCAACTTGATTTCTGTGAGCAAACTAGCGTTCGACTCTTTCTATATTACCATTTTTCTAAGACAAATTTGTGTCATACAGGACCTACAATCGGGGAAGATGATTGGGACGGGAACTGAGAAGGAGGGACTCTACCGACTCAATCTACCACAGAAAGGAACATGCAATGCGGTACACACCGACTCGGACAGTTTATGGCATCAACGACTTGGTCATCCTTCAAATAAAGCATCTTTATTATTTTCTTTCCTTTCAAATAAAGCTTGTGATTCAAGCTCCTGTTCTGTTTGCCCTTTAGCCAAACTCACTAGACAACCATTTCCATTAAGTATTACTCGGAGTGTATCCTGCTTTGATTTAATTCACATTGATATTTGGGGAGGTTATCATGTTCCAACTTTTTCTGGTGCGCAATATTTTCTAACCATTGTTGATGACTATTCAAGAAACACTTGGGTGTATTTAATGAAACACAAGTCTGAAGCACGTACTCTCCTCATCCATTTTATTCATTTGGTTGCAACTCAGTTTGGTAAAAATATTAAGGTCGTTAGGAGTGATAATGGTCTGGAGTTTAAGATTCCCTAATTTTATTCTTCTAAAGGCATTATCCATCAAACTAGCTGCGTCAACACACCACAACAAAATGGTGTGGCTGAACGCAAACATCGACACTTGCTAAATGTAGCTAGGGCTCTACTTTTCCAAGCCAATTTGCCGAAACCCTTTTGGGGGGATGCCATACTCACAGCAGCTTACTTGATTAATCGAACACCAACTCCAATTCTTCAAGGGAAAACACCTTTTGAAAAACTTTTCCATAAGGAACCTAGTTATCCTCATTTAAGAGTTTTTGGTTGTCAATGCTTTGTATCAACACATCCAACTCGTCCTAGTAAGTTTGACCCTCGATCAATGGAGTGCATTTTCCTTGGCTATCCACACGGCCAAAAGGGGTATAAAGTTTATAACTTGACAACTAAGAAATCCCTAGTTTCAAGGGATGTGGTTTTCTTTGAAAATGTGTTTCCTTTCAAGAAAGATTCAGAGTCTTTTCCATCACAAAATTCTGATTTGTTTTCTTCTCCAATTCGTTTGGCCCATTATGATAATCCTTCAATTCCAACTCCTACAATTCCTCCTTCGAGTCCCACATATAACTCTACACCTACAATCCCTCAAAACCCCCAGTCTTCCGCTGAACACCATCCTAATCACTCTCCTTCCAAATCTCTCCCATCTACAGAACCTGCACCTTATGATATCACCTTTTCTAATTCAGACACAATCTCCTCCGATCCCATTCAATCATCTCTGCCTACAGAACAATCTTCACCACAACCACGCAAGTCTTCTCGAGCTACAAAACTCCCTACTGCATTGCAGGACTTTCACATTGATGCGGCCCTCCCCTCACGTCTCGTTCCGTCGTCTTCTTCGAACAAGGTCACAACTCCTGGTACGACTCATAGTCTCTCACATGTTCTTTCTTATGTCAACCTTTCTTCTCCTCATAGAGCCTTTACTGCTAATATTACCTTGCAAAGAGAGCCTACATCTTTTTCTCAGGCAGTTAAAGACCCAAAGTGGAGAGAAGCGATGCAGCTAGAGGTTGAAGCACTGCAAGCTAACATGGAGTCTAGTTCCACCACCAGCTCACAAACACCCAATCGGCTGCAAATGGGTGTATAAAATCAAGTACAATCCCGATGGAACCATTGAACGCTATAAGGCCAGGTTAGTGGCCAAGGGTTACAGCCAAGTAGAAGGCCTTGATTATAGGGAAACGTTCGCGCCAGTTGCCAAGCTCACTACAGTTCGAGTCTTGCTCAGTCTCGCAGCTCAACAAAATTGGCATCTTCACCAACTGGATGTGAATAATGCGTTTCTCAATGGAGACCTTCATGAAGATGTGTACATGCAACTTCCTCCGGGCTTCGAACGAAAGGGGGAGAATAAGGTCTGTAAGTTACACAAATCATTATACGGCTTGAAGCAAGCCTCTAGGCAATGGTTTTTGAAGCTCTCCTCAGCTCTCAAGTCAGCCGGTTTCAAGCAATCATGGTCCGATTATTCCATGTTCGTCTGAAGCCAGCAAGGTCTCTTCACAACTTTATTGGTTTATGTGGACGATGTAATTCTCGCAGGAAATGACTTAGATGATATTATGAGAACCAAAATTTTTTTATCAAGTCACTTCAAACTGAAGGACATGGGACAGTTGAAATACTTTCTTGGATTGGAAGTAGCGAGGTCCAAGCACGTCATTGCATTAAGTCAAAGAAAGTATGCATTGGAAATACTTGAAGACACAGGATTCCTTGGTGCAAAGCCTTCACGTTTTCCAGTTGAGCAAAATATAACCCTCACACAAGAAGATGGAAGATTGTTAGAAGATGCATCTCAATATCGAAGGCTTGTTGGACGCCTCATTTATCTTACAATCACAAGGCCGGACCTTGTGTATGCAGTCCATATACTCAGTCAGTTCATGGATAAACCAAGACAACCTCACTTAGATGCAGCCCACAAGGTGTTGAGATATCTCAAACAGACACCAGGTCAGGGTATTTTTCTACCTTCAAAAGGACCATTAGAATTAAGAGCATATTGTGATGCAGATTGGGCGCGCTGCAAAGACACTAGAAGGTCAACAACAGGTTACTGCATCTTCCTCGGACACGCTCCCATTTCATGGAAAACGAAGAAGCAGAGTACGGTCTCACGTTCGAGTGCAGAAGCCGAGTATCGCTCTATGGCCACTACTTCTTGTGAGATAACATGGTTACAATACATTTTAAAAGACTTGAATGTTAAACATTCACAACCAGTCAAGTTGTTCTGCGATAACAAAGCCACAATACACATAGCGTCTAATCCTGTGTTCCATGAAAGAACCAAGCATATAGAAATAGACTGCCATGTTGTAAGAGAGAAAGTGCAAAGAGGATTGATTCAAACAGAGCATATAAGAACCAAGGAGCAACCAACAGACATTTTCACAAAGCCCCTGAGTTCAAATCAGTTTTCATTGTTGCTGGACAAGTTAGGAGTGATCAATATCCACTCTAACTTGAGGGGGAGTATTGAAGGAAAGAATCTCGACTGATTAGTAATTGATTAGATGACATCCTGTAATTGTTGTCATTGAAACAACTTACTTAGAATAACTCCTAGATTAGTGGAGTTATTATGTGTAATCATGTATTTGCTGTCTTACCTAAAACTGCTCCTAGATTGGTGGATGATAAACTGTATATATGCTGTAAGACTTGGTATAATAAAAGTACAGAAAAATAATTCTCATCTCAAAAATCTTTCCAACGTTGTGTCCCAAACGTAAAAGAATCAGTAATCTATTGAATATTGGTCATCCTTGATCTTGTGCAGCTACATAGAGCACCGAAAAAATCTTAATTCTACGAATGGTGTTCGGTACATTGCTGAGAACCAAACAATTTAGGGGTTAAAAGTTTATCATTACACTGATTTGGGGGCAACCATAAAAATGCCTACAATATCATTACACTGATTAATGATTCTGCATTAACGGGTTTGGTTCTGAATCGTAGGTGTATCAAAACAAACCCGACCCGTTTATAGTCTTCCCCTGCGAGAACCAGGACGAGAAAGCACCGCTAGTTTTCACTGCACAGAATTCAGTCGCTGAGCAATGCGCCGGCGGTGAATCGGGTCTCTCTCCCGTACACCGCGAATGGGTAGATTCGGCTGGCTAGGGTTTTCGAGATCGCTGCTTCTGCAAACTACAAAGGTAGCCAAATTTCTTTCCTTAATCGATTATTTGTTCTTTTTTTTAATGACTATTTCCGCTTCTAATTCAATCTAATTAGCAGTCTCTTGGGTCATCTTCGGCCACGATTGATCGGAGGCACGAAGGATTGTTGCCATTTCTTAGAGCGATTTCTTACCAATCTCCAGGTAAGCTTTTCCCTCCTTAATTCGTCTGTACATATTTCATTATTTCGGTGGATTTATAAATTTATGAACTTTTCTTCTATTTTTCTGTTTTCCGATGATTGTTAAGTCTCAATATGGTATCAAAAATAAATTATCAATGCAATATGGGTATCTATTAAGGGGTCATTTCGTTGATACACAGGCTTAGTACTCATCCCAACAGAAGGGTTCTCTAATTTAGCTGCAGAAATTTTAGTGTCAAGTTTGTGTGAGTATAAACCTGGATATCAATGTTATTTTATGACCCCAAGATGCATGCAAAAGGGGGCAATTACAAAATTCTTGTCTTTGTTATCATGATATGCGAATTTAGCCAAAAGATCAGATGTCATTGGCAAGCGAGAGGATACAAAGTTCACTAATTAGCATAAGATATAAAAGAGATGAATACAACTTTGTTGCGAGTTAATAGGAGGAGGGAATTTTGAGGTGCAAATTCAAGAATATTTTTGACATTACAAGTGTCGCTAAATACAATCTGTTTGCTTTGCATCTACAATTTTCTCTACTTAGACATGCGCCATCATATTATATGTTTTACTACTACTCTCTTTAGGCGAATCTTGTGAATCTCATTAAGTATTCTGCTGCACTATCTTCTCAGTTTCATGCGGATGCAAAGGCCATAACGCCAGCAGAACTTATAATCAGTTCAGACACACATATTTTTCGATCCGATCTTTTCATGCTACGGGTACTTCTCTTTAATTACTTATTACACTGCTTCACATTTCCTACATTTAAAATCTTGTGAAGTCCGCATAAAGTTTCATATCTCTAATATTTGATTGATGCAGGGATATGTTGTATTATAGACCGAGACTACTATGAAATCCTCGGTGTTCCCAAAGGTGCTAGTCAAGATGATATCAAAAAAGCTTTTCATGCAGTAAGTATCTGTCATGGATTTTCTTTTCTTGCAAACCTAGAGTATTGTCAAGAGTAGGGGCTGTGTTGAATGGTAAACAGTTGTGTTGGGTATTGTTATGTGCGAGGTTTGAGTCTTGATATTCTTTGAAAGAAACTTAAAAATAAGTTGCAGATGCTTGTTGCCATAGAGCGCTGAAGCAGCTCACTGTTTTGTGTTGAAGCAACATGTCTGTTTATCATTTTGATAAGAAAGCGCCCAAGATTATGATTGTTTAGGTTGTTTCATAATATGTTACTTCTTATTGAATATTATTGAATAAAGTGGTGCATGGCACTTATAACTTGTTTTTTTAAAGAGAAAAATTATAATACAATTCTTCTACTTGTCTTTTTAGCTGCTGCAAATGATAAACCTTGAGGGCTTGACTGATCCTATTTAGTCTACAAGTAGACATGAGACTAAATTTTTATCAAATTGTTGTCTGATTGAATAAGGAGCTTAAACTAGAGATGTGAGACCAATACAAGTTCAATAGTTAAATGAAGATGGCCATGGACATTAAGAAAGGACAGAGAGAAATATAGATGTACGGAATACCGGTGCTTGCCTGCTTGGACATGAAGATAGACAAAAAACAGTGACTCAGAAATATGTGGTTGGCATTCCAGTGGATAATCAGTATCATCCACCATGTTCTCTTGTGTCCTAAAAGTAATTATGGATGAGGATGGCCGTGGTTTTAAAACACCAGCTCTGCACATTTGAAGTGAAAATTGTTCACATCGTATGATTTCTCATCCACATGTTCCTATGGGGATTAAGGTTGAACCTGACTGATAGATCAACCATTGGGATGTCTCATATACGTTTTTGAGCTGGCATTCTGGAACTTTCCCCACAACATCAGCTTATTTTTATTTTCTCTTATGTGCCTGTGCATGTTTAATACTATTATGTAGAATAGCTAGTTAATTGCACATTATCCATGTCATTGTTTCTGTTGTTAATTGTATAGTTTATTGATATTTGATATTGTGGCTAAAGTTCCAATTTTTTTATTATCTTATACTGTACTATCACTCCTATGTTGGTGTTGCTTGACCGTAGCATCTTTCATGAAGTTATAATTACTAATCAATTTGCTTAATTGCATCAAATTCAGATTTTTGTTTGCTGGTTTATTCTCCATTATTTCATCTTGCTCTAATGCCTTCATATTCATATATAACAAATATTGATGATGATTATTAGTTATCAGGGTTTGGCTTTAAGAATCCTTCCTCTACTATTTTGACATCTTTTTGCAGCAGAATTTCTTAGTACTTTTTTAATTCTGATTTCTTGATTGAGTAGTTGGTGAATTGCAGCTTGCAAAGAAATATCATCCAGATGCAAATAGAAATAGTCCTGCTTCTAAAAGAAAGTTCCAGGAGATAAGGGATGCATATGAGGTTAGTACTTTGTACAACAAGTTATCTAGTGAAGTTTTTTTCCCTTTCTTTTTATATATATTTCATCCTGTCACTAACTTTCTTCTTCTTACTTTATCTTCTGTGTAAGGTGAATCCAGACATTGAGCGATGCTGAAAAGAGAGCACATTATGACAGGGTATCTGTCTTTTGGATGCATATTGTGAAAAAAACATTTTTGTTTAGTTTGAGTAGAAAAGTATCCATCTTTATGCCTCATGCCGTCGAAAGTTCACGTCCCATATTGTATTACTACATTTTTCTTGTTTTGTTGAATCTCAATGAACTACATAAAAACTGATCGTTATACTATTAAGTCAGCCTATAGTATCAATGTACCATATCAACTGTTGTCACTTATTACTCTACTGTTGTAATAGGAATTCTTGAGAAAATCTGAGGAGTCGAGGTACCCTGATGAAGATGCCAATGGCTTTCGAAGAGCCTATGAAGATCCTTTCTCTGATACGTTCTATAAGATATTCTCTGAGGTGAATTTGGTGTTATCTTATGGTAGTAGTCCTTTCAGCATTTCTTTGGGGAGTTCCATAATTATTGATCTTGCTGTAGGTCTTTGAACATGATAGAGAAAGATATGCAGATGACCTACAGGTTAAGTTTTTATTTTCTCAGTCTTCAGGAGCTAATCATGCTGTCTGCCTCATCCTACTTGATGTTCAATAATCTGTGGTTCTGAACCTATCTACCGCTTTTTACATATTTTGTAGGTGAAATTAGATCTCACTTTCACTGAGGCTGCTAAAGGTTGCACAAAACATGTGTCTTTCAGAGCACAAGTTCCTTGTGATTCATGCTGTGAGTAAATACTTCTTCCGACTTAGTTTAAGAACATCTCTTTCTTCTTACTCACTTCAGATTGCTTTTTGATGATAAACTATTTAAGTTTCCTGGTTCCTAAAGTTTCCACATACATCATCCTTACATTTCTTTCATAGACATACATATTTTAAACTTTTGTTCATAATTTTCTCTTGCATTACTTATTTATGTATTCATTTGTTTAACATAGCTCGATCAATGAAAGAAGTTCTGGTTATGCTGTTCCTAGCAGTAGTGATAATAACAGGCTTAACAGCAAAAAACAACAATTAAAGAACCCTTTTTCTCTGTTTATCTTTATTAAGCTCTGTATCCTTTGTTAAAATATCAACTACCATATCCTTTTAATATTCCTATACCTTTTGTGTTGGCTTATGCTACTCCATGCAGCTTCCTCCATAGCTCCTCTATTATCCTTTTTTTTATTCCTCAGTCCATGTAATATCCTCTAAAGTCTCTTGGATTTGTATCAACCATCTCAAAAGGTAACCCCTCATTTTTATCTCAGTTGAAACTGGCTTTACCTTTTTATGTGTCCGCTCATCTCTTATCATATTTTGTAGGTGAAGCATGATTTAACTTACTTTAAGTAAACTCTTCTCTGCAACTTTACAGAATTTATGTTCATGTAATGTTATTTGTTATGAATTAAGCTATGTAATATGTTCATTTCATGTGCTAATCTTTTTTGTTTATGTTTTAAGCCAAACTTTTGTTTTTTTCTCTTTTACTGAGATACAGATGGAAGGGGTCACTCTGTCAATGCAAAGCCATCTATATGTCCTACATGTAAAGGCGTTGGAAAAGTGGGCATCCGTATCCTTATTCTTTTTATTTGTAATGTTTATAATTTCTGAAGTTGAACTGTAGAATGTCTTTACTTGTTAGAAATTATGAATTTTAATTTGCTGATTGACTGATTTGGTTGGATATCTCTTAATTCAGGTTACAATTTTTCCATTCACGACTACGTGTAGTTCTTGCAAAGGTCGAGGGAAAATAATTAAGGTTGATACCTAGCAGCTAAAGACGCATTATTTCATCTGATTTTCAGTTTACCTGAGTAGTAATAGTGCTATTCTTACGTATGTAGGATTATTGTTTGGCATGTAGAGGATCTGGGGTGGTTGATGGTGTAAAGAATGTCAGTGTTACCATTCCACCAGGTGACTTACAACAGTTTATGCAAGCTTACTTGAGTTCTATTTCCTGATTTTAGATCTATGTTTCTGTTGTGTTAGTAGTCATGCAGGTGAAAACAGTCACCTTATCTGTGTTAGTATTCCACCATGTGACTTACAACAGTTTTTATGCAAGCTTACTTGAGTTCTATTTACTGATTTTAGATCTATATTTCTGTTGTTTTAGTAGTCATGCAGGTGAAAACAGTCACCTTATCTGTGTTGTACCTATTTAATGTCATTATATTGGTAACAACTATTTTCTTGTGTATTAACATTATTTCTTAATGTCTTCTCGCACACTATTGTTATTGTTGTTGTTCTTTTTTAAATCAGCCTTCTTAAACATCCACCGATACTTGTTTTTTTTAACCTTAGGAGTTAGCTCTCAGTTGCAACAAGTAATATATTTTTTATTTATTACTATAGGTCTATGAAATAGGAATCAGATCCAGTTTTCTTCCTTTGGCTTTCTTATGCTCAGAGATAAATGTGTTTCTTAAGCTGAATCTTATCATCTCACATATTAATCTGATCCTAAGCCTGGGAGTTTGTTACTTGGTGGAATGAGCCTAAACTGTGAATAATTTCTATGTTTACTCAGCTGGCTCTTGGTCACTGAGGGTTTGTAGCCCTCGCTTTTTGGTAATTTTCTTGACATCAATTTGGTACATCTTGTTGAGGGTTGACACCACTTTGACGGTTTACTGTAAAAACTCTTATCTTGTGGAGATTTCTCTACTTTGAGCAATGCATCCTAGCACTTTATTTTGATGTGTAAACCTTAGTCTGTGGAAATGATGAGGTGACCATTCAACATGCTTTGCATGCTGTTACCACCTAGTTTTTTTTGTCTTCAATAAATGTCGGTGAATGACACTTGATATATATCATGGTGCTTTCTTCCTTTTCTTAAGATAATAACAAGTTAACAACCATTTATAGGTGATCTTTTCTTCTGTTGTATACATTCATGCATATACAGTCCCTAAAATGTTGTTGCAAGTATAAGATCTTCTTGTTCATCATTCTACTGTTTTAAGCTAAGTTGCATGGAAACGGGCACGGGTACTAGTACGGGTGCGGGTGCGGGTAGGGGACACAGTAAAATTGTAAAATGTAGGGTACGGGGACACGACTACATATATATATTGAATTAATAATGTACATGAGATATAATTTTCCCGCTTCATGTGTCATTAGAATTAAAATTCCGATTATATTTTTGAGTTTCTTTTATCATATTGATTATTGTGAATTGTAAATTACTAGACATCTAAATGACCATTAACTATATAGTTTTGAACTTAGGTATGGACTGAAACGAACCCGACCTGTATCTCATTAGTTTCAAAAGACGGATGTGAAGTGTAAGCTCTACGTCTAGGAAGTCTTTGACAAGTGTCGGATGTGAAGTGTAAGCTCTACGTCTAGGAAGTCTTTGACAAGTGTTTTAAATTAACACATATATCGTATAATTGAGTACATGTTGTAATAAATGCATGCATATATTCAAGAAGTGTCCAGAAGTTTGGGTATGGGAAAGTGTCGGGTACGTGTCCGGTACGGGTACGGCTTCATTATAGAAGTACCCGGGTAACATAGGTTTTAAGTTAGCATGAATTTTTTCTTATTCATGTCTAATTGTTCACTTACTTCATATAGGAGTCGATTCTGGTGATACGATTCAGGTTCAAAAGGCTGGGAATCAAGGGGGACATAGCGTCGGTCCAGGCAATTTGTATATTAAACTGCAGGTAGTACTTTCCCAATTTGTACATCTCAAGCATAGTCAAAATCGTAGGTTTTTTATTTAGCTTAGGGTGCCTACGAATTATTGGAAAGATTGAAGTGTCTGGATTTACGATTTGGTAATGAGGTAAATTTCATGGTGACCTGGCACCCGCACATGGCACCCCAACCCCAACATCCTCCCAGCTAGCTTTGCGAACTATCCATTTTGGATTTATGGTGACCCTATGCTCCAGTACATAATTTCTTTGGCTTGGATTTCAGCATTGAATTATAGGATTGAAGACAGTTTTGTATTAAAAAAAATCCTTAAAAGATTTTGGAATGTTATGGTCCACAGGACCACAGCTGACCCCAAATAGATAGGAAAAAGGTGTTGTGGTGGCAGGGAGTGTAGTCTGTAATGGAAGTCATGCACATTAATCTCAGATTTTTTTGGGTTAAATATGCTCTTTATGATGTTCTTGAACTTAGAATGGGTTTATATAAGAAGCACTGGTATTGACATGGAACATGAATGCAGCCCACTAAAGCCTCACTTTAGCTGAAATAAGCCATTGAGTGCTTCACTTTACCCAAAAGTTGTAAAATGCCTCTAATCCACTTACAGACATGAAATTTATCTTTGTACTCCTTTAGGAGCTCAAAAGTTCCGATTCAATCTGCTTCCCAATTTGGTTTATCATTTATGTGTTCCTTAAGGTCTATTCTCCAATGTACTACTCATGGTCTTAGTGACAACTGACAAATTTGTTGATTGCGAAAGAGTTCTGTGATTACAAAAGCTCCCACAAGTCTTCACAAATGTTAACTCTTAGTTATTTAACATTTTTTGTTTAAAAGCCGTTAAAATCATTTTCCCAAAAATTTTAATTCTTTGTACGACATTCTTTTATTAATTCTTAGTTATTTAATATTCTTAGTTATTTAATATTCATTGTTATTTCACTGTTTGGATTTGTAAGAAAGTTCTCTTTGCCTTCATAGGAGTTTTGGGTAGATTTATTATGTCTAACTAATATATGCTTAATAAAAAGTTCTGTACTTCATATTCATATTATTTTAAAATCTACAAAACATAAGGCGTTGGTACTTCTTTTGTTCTGTACTAACATGTTTATTGACTGAGTCTCATATGTTGTATTGTCCATCTGGTATGCATGATTTGTCTCCTTTTTGTCTTATAGGTAGAGAAGGACCCCATTTTCCAAAGAGACGGAGCTGATGTCTATATAGATGCTCGTATTAGCTTTACACAGGCAAGACTATTATGTCTCACGTGTTTATTATTGATATATTAGATAGTTTGTTGCATTATTGAAATGTTATCTTTGCATCCTCCTAATTCCAACCTTGCAACATCTCTTTATTATAACAGGCTATTCTTGGGGGTAACATTGAAGTACCAACCTTGTCCGGAATGACGCAAGTGAAGGTATAGAGTTTTGCTACCTTAAGCTTTCAGTTAAACTGAATCTTTCATAATTCATGTTTCTTGCTGTAATTTCACTTTCTATTTTGTTTTATTATGAAATATTAATGAGATGTTTTGATGAAAACAGATGCATAATCCATGAACATGCTCTCATTTTTTGGGCTGTGTTCACATGATAAAGATGTATATGCTTTCATTGCTATGTTGATGTTCTTTTTGTGCTATACACACATTATAAGTTTTTTGCTTAGTCCAACCAATGTAGAACACATGGTTGCTATAATTTTGGGGGAAAAAGGAATTTCTACAACATATGAGTTCACCGATACAAACTGCTTATAAAACATAGAAGAGTGACTTTTAGAGATAACAGAAAGCAATTGTTTGATTTATGCTCGTAAAGGAGTAAATTTTAGTGGGTTTGGGTAGATTGAGATATAAGTTGAACTTTCCGCTGTTACCTCAACTTAGACATGGCATTGTATTTGTGGAGAGGAACAGAAGGCCTCATATCCTAAACCAATTCAGCTATTGTTATGTTGGTGTTTCTTCATCTCTTGTAATCATATCGCTGATCCATATTTTATCTAGACCTTTACATAGTTTGGCAACGTTCTTTATGGTTTTGTGGTTCTGAGAGATTAAACTACAATTGCTGGTTAAGTGGTTTCTGTACCCAATGTTTGTCCTTCTAGGTTATGTGGAAACTGTTTTTCATGCCCATAGTTCCCTGGTCAGGAATTTGTAACCAACTCAGAGGTTCATGTCAGATGTCGAATATCAATCCTAACAACAAAAATGAAGCCTTTTTTTTAAAACCTCTGAGTTAGATTATATCAATTCTTTTCCTTCATTCAGGTCTCTTAAGGATCACCTCCTCCATTAGATTAACAACCATTTACCGCCACAATTTGTCCTTGATCTGTTAACTATTAATATTATCCTATTATTTCGTGGAATTGATGCACTTACTAATCATTGGCCTCTTATTCACAAACACAAGCCATCACAGCCATTTCTCCCTTATTATCTTTAAGAAGAAGTATCTTTAACTTAATGAAGCACACAGTTCCTCGTCCCATCTCTTAGTATGTTGCTGCTAATGTGTACCAACATTTTTGTTTCAGCTACCTAATTTTCTGGACCTTATGACCCGTAGTTGTGGCTGCTCGAATATTTGTATTGTGGTGTATCTTTATTGAATGGTTGCTGGACTAATTCTATTTGAGTCACTTCTGGTTATTCTTTCTTTTCTTTATCCGTATGTGAAATGGAACTTCTATTTTGCTGTCAAGCTGGTAGAAGTCAACCACCATTCTCTGGTAGATAGCTTTATTCAGTGCAGGTTCTTGTGTTCGCTAAACTTGAAACCAGAGCACTCTTCTAATTTATCTGCAAGTCATTTTGCCTCTCGCTATTGATCACCATGAACATCCATATCTTCCTTTGCATCTGGATCCTCTGACAGATCAAGCAGTTTTTTGCAATTATTTGTTTCTGTGCTTAAACTGAAAAACAATCTTTTATCAGAAACTTGCGATCTTTCTGGAATTACCTTCATGGCTTTTCTCTTGCTCCTAATGTAATATGTATATGCTCAATGATGAAATTACCGTTCTAGCTTAGAGTGTTTGAATCTGTCAGTGGACTGTATAGCATGGCTCATTTGAAGGAGAATAATCAATTCAGAGTGGCAAAGCAGGCTACAATTCTTCAGTCTTAAGGCGAGATGTTTTGGTAATTGGAACTGCATGGTAGATCCTTTTTAGGCAGGAACTTCTTAAGCAATCTTAGTCTACTCCCGTAAAATATGAAATTCTTCCACTAATGCGTCTGCTAAATTTCATAATGATCTTTCAAATATATGTCTATATTCCAAATTTGTAGCATGGGAACCACTCTGTAAGTTAGCTATTTCATTGGCTGGAAAGTAATAACTGTGCATCAAATGGCTTCTGGTAACCTTTATTATTTTTACAATTGCTCAGATACCGAAAGGAGTCCAGCCGGGGCAACTTTTGGTTTTACGGGGTAGAGGTATAGTCATATGGAGCGTGATATTTTTTGATAGTATCTTCTTATTCTTTTCTAGTCATGCTAAAAAAATGGTCTGCTCCATCAGGTTTACCAAAGCAAATTGGTTTCTTAGACCATGGTGACCAATATGTGCGGTTCCGTATACACTTTCCCTCGTAAGTTCTCCTTGAGTAGTCTTTTTTACCTCTTCAATTCACATTTTATTGCTTCTCTTTTGTTTCTAGCAGGATTTAGGACATTGAAGTTAAATATTGCTAATAATTATCTGTAGACATGATATAACATGTTAAATAGATTGGTATGCTTGAGATTACAGAAAGGGTATAAGCCATGGACACTTCTATTGGTAGGCCATATCCTCTTGGATCCCATGGAAACGGACATAACCTTTTCCTGTTGCCGCTGTCCGTGTGCTACTTAAGATTTTCCTCAGAGCCCCTGTATCATATTGAGTTGTGCCTGTTCAGAAGCGTCCAGTCTTTGCCTCTTTTATTCAAAGGTGTAAGGAAACACCTTTTCGATGGAAATGAGGAAAGGGGAGTCTAATCCACCCCCATGGTGGAATCATAACCTCCAAAAGTAAGGTTTATCTACTATTCCCTTTAAAGTGCAACTGTTGTTCTAGTGAAAGGAGAGGTTCTAGTGGCGAATCAGCACACTGTCGCCCTTAAGTCCCCACTTTTAAATGGGATGCTATTGCTTGCTTTGAAGATTTATTGTTTTAGTTAGTTGGTGCATGGTTCAGTTATAAAGGTAGGTACGTTGTAATTGTGTTTCCTATATAAAGATAGTTAAGACTGTATATAGCTTAGAGTTTCTCCATCCAAGACTAATAACTGGTTTGGTCATGTACCGCAAGCATCAGATTATTTCAATTACTGTACTCAGGAAACTGTAAATGGCCGCGTGTTGAAAATTGTAGATAAACATCAATGAGGAACTGCATTTGTCTCAAGTTTCAACTAGTTAGTTCATCGGGACTTCCCACTCCCTTGCATTTGACCCTCATTGTGACTGGTTCTTATTTGTTCCGTCAATTTTGGCATAAAAAGGCTTGGAGAAGATAAACAATAAACCTAATATTTTGCCTTATTCTTAATAAACTTGTAATGAAACATGACTGTTATACATCTTCACTTTTGACTCAGAACTAAACATTCATATGCTGTTTTTCTCCAGTTCGGTAAATGATCGCCAACGAGAATTGTTGGAGGAGTTTGCTAAGGAGGAAGAAATTCGAGAAAGTGCTGAAATTACCTATGGGAACTGGTGGGTTGTCAATAAATTCCTATTCTTCTGTCTTTAGACACGCGAAAATATTTTCCTTTATGTTGTTACTATTCTCTCTTTTTAACCTGATAATCATTTCTTTATTTCATGTTGTTCTAAATTTGGGTTTATTTATTATTCTGTGCAACTAACAAAACTTCTGGTATATTTCTTTATCTTTATTGAAAATATCTGCTCTCCTCTTTTATTAACCACATCATTAAATTTTTCAAAACATGCCAATGAACGTTGATAGGCTTTGGCATGTTGCAATATCATTCCTACTTATGTTCCTACGTAATCAACAAGTAGTAACATCTTGCAACTCTTACTGTTATCATTGTGATCCTATTATTTTTTAGTTTAACAAAACTTTACATCATGAAATTTTCATATCTCAATGAACATTGATAGTCTTTGGCATGTTGCAATATCATTTATACTAGTCTTCCATAGTAATAAACAAGTGGTAACATCTAGCATCTCTTATACTGTTATCATTGCGATCATACTGTTTATTTTAACCAAGCTTTTGTGAGTTCATATTTTTTCATTGAGAATATGATGGAGATATTGGAATGAACAACAGGCTTGATCAGCAGATGTGTACTGGTTGAAACTTACAGGTGGAGGCAAATAGGTGATTTATTGACCGCTCCATGGTTCATGCTCGGTGTTGGTTTCCTACTACTTATCCATTTTCTGCTAAGAGTTTGAGATATAATCTGATTCATCTGCAAGTGTGCGTTTACTCTGAAACTAAGATATAATGCAAGCATCAGTGCATCAAACGCTTCGGCACGAATGGAATCGTCCAGCTTTGCAGCACCAAGCATCTGTTTCAGCGAGCAATTTTTCTCGTTATGCATCAGTTACATTCCATAAGAGGAGATAATTTCTTTTTTTGGGAGACCAGGGGACCAGGAATATATTGAAGTCTGAAGGCGCCAAATTCTATTTCAGCGAATGACTGCTTCATAGCACATTAGTTAGGGTCCAGAATAAGGTGCAAACTTTTTATCGATAGGGCTGAGCACCACATTATCTGTAGCTGCTTTATTTAGTGCTTTCAATTCTGAGAACAGGTCTTTCTCCCTTCTGACCTGTTTATTTTGATCTGAGAATCTTCAAAACATGGGATGATTTTGATACAACATTGTAAATTTATAATCTGTACATCACTTGAACTTGAAATTGAATATTGCTATCCATACGAAAAATAAGACAAGGTGCTTCTCTTCGAACTACGGGATGATTTTTGATACGACGTTGTAAATTTTTATGGATATGGGTGATAAGGGAAGAAGATGCCAGCCATCTCCTCAGTATCAAGGGTAAGGATTGACGTTAGAATCAAGCAACACTAATGGTGGAGGCAAATCGCGAATCGAATGGACTTCGAATTTCCGAAACTTACCCAACCATAATCAATATATAAACCCACTTTAATCCCCAAACTTATCAAAATCATGGAGACGGAGCCCCAACAACCAAAACCGACCACCGACAAGTACCTTAAAGCTGTATCCAGACCGCCGGCTTCCCCGTAATACTCACCCCCTTACCCTTCTCCTACTTAGTCACCGGCCAAAATTCAAACCCTCACCTTCCCGCCAAATCAAGAACCCGCCGCTTAACCCTCCCACCATTACTCGCCACCGCCTTCGCGGGCGTCGTCCTCATCGGCCTCAGCGACTTCCTCTACACCTATGGCACGTCCTTCCTCCCTGTCTCCGCTCCCTCGCTTATAAACTCGACACAGCTCGGATTCACAGCAGTGTTCTCTTTCTTGATCGCGAGGCAGAGGTTTACGCCGTACTCAATCAATGCGGTGGTGTTGCTGATTGTCGGAGCGGTGATTCTCGGGATTTTCTGAAAAGGCTTGGAATTTTCTGAAAAGATGAGGGGTAAAGTGATTGTTTATTTGGGTAAACTTGATGACTTATAAGCAAAGATAAGCTGGTTATAAGCCTCAAAAGTTTGTGACTTATAAGCCGCTTGATTAGTTTCTAAACATGCTCATAATTATTATTGGTCATTTTACTTATGTATTTATAAAGTTTCATTGCTTTTACATTGACTACACCTGACCCCGATTTTTTAAAGATTAAAAAATAAAAATAAAATAAGAAATTGGCTAATGGGAGAACAAAAACCACATTGAGAGGCACATGTAGACAAATGGTGTTATGGTGTTTTCAGTCGCCAACTTATAGGCCCTTGCCGACAACAAGCGAATATCCCCCGTCACGCACCATTCAGTCGACTCGACACTTAGGACCGCCAAGGTCGACCTAGCCGACTCGCCGAATTGTCGTCTCGTGAAGTCGACTTGAATGGCGATACTTGTGTTGGTCCTCCCATCAAAGGCGACTAATTACGAATCCACTCAACCGGTTAATTAGCTAGTGTCTCGCTGTGTCGACTCAAAATATGTTACTTCTCGGCACCCTTTGATACAAGTCAAAAGGCAACTTCGACCTCGAACCCCCCCCCCCCACCCCCCCTTGTTAGGTCTTATGTTTATGAGCCTACTATCTAATCTGGTTTTGATGATTAACAAACAATTCCTAACATCGTTTGCCGAGTGTTTGTATTTACTTGTTAGGAATCCAACACAAAGATCCTCCGTTGGCGGTTGGATGAAATTGTGCGTTGACGATGATATTCAAAGGAGGTTGGTGGAATTGGATTGAAGCCATTTGTGCATTCAAGTCAAAGATTCACTATTTCGCTTCATCCTACCAAGTCGAGTTTATTGAAGATCTATTGCTTAGGTATAGTGTTTTTTGTTAGTGTAGATGTGTTTACTTTATGTGTTATGCTTAAAACTCAAATCATACACACACATACACACACAATATTTTTGATTTATCGCGTTTTCAGATTATAGACTTAATGACACGATATTATATCTTTTCTCAAGTCTATAAATCTATTGGAAAGTGTTTCAAAACTTGTTTCATCAAAATCAAGTATTTGATGATTTCGTATTCTAAACACTTTGCAAAATAGTAAGTTTTCCACGTTTGAAAAATGCAATTTGAGAAATTTGTTCTTTAACATATTTAGTTTCATGTGTATAAACATTTTCCCAAGTTTTGCTAATTTTAGAGTTAATTTGTTATTTTTAATTGAATTTAAAAAATCAGCTTTTCAGGTTTCATGCTGTTTTTGCAAAACAGATGAGTTTTCACAAATGAAAAATGTTATTCCAACACTTGTTTTGTTATTTTTAACTAATTTTACAAACCAGTTTTCTAAAATATTTAGTGTCTGAATATCTGGTTTTCGGTCAACTGACACAGTCTCATCATCGACCGAAAGCAAATCATCGGTCGACCGACAAGATGTCACCAGTCGACCGATCAGAGTGTTTCAGCATCTGAGTTTTTAGAATTATCAATCGACCGATCACATGCGATCATTCGACCGATGAGCATCCATCGGTCGACCGACACGGTATCATCAGTCGACCGATTTTTACTGTTTTGCCAGATCTGTTAACGGTCATATTATCAGTCGACCGATAACACGTCACTAGTCGACCGATCGGGGATTTTTGGCATAACGGCTAGTTTTGGATGATTCTTTTGAGAGGCTATAAATAGCCCTCAACACTTGTTCTTCCTATATGAGTTTTTACACGGTTTTAAAGAGTGTTTACACCAGTTTAATTCCAAGTTTTGGTGTGTTTATTTTGTGAAGAAAGTTTCACAAAAAGAAGAAGCTTGCAATTTTGGTTTTTGAGGAGTTCCACCTCAAACATCAATCTCTACATCTATTTGTCTTTTAGAGAAGTTTTTCTTACTCTTTCTTCTAGTTAATCTTATACTTTGATTCTCATATTTTTATGCTAGATTGACTTGAGTTTAATTTTGTTATTGTTCATTGTTTACACACACAACCATTTGTGCTTAAGTATTTCACATTTAGTATACTTGGGTTGTGGGAGTGTATCTTTGAGTGAGCTTCATTTTAGTTCTCATCTTGTTTAGAGAACTAATCTTGTTATTTGCACTTCATTGTTGAGAACACGTTGTAATACACGTTGTAATACACGTTGACACTTAGAGGAGTGGTTGGTAGTGACAGGATCAATTCCAAAAGGAGTGACTTAGTTGTAAAAGCCTAGGGAGAGGTAGTAATTCCAAACACTTGAGAAAGGTGACACGGGTAGACCAACACTTACAGGAGTGTCTTATGGGATTGACAACGTGTGAGTTGTAAAAGTTTTCGGTGAGCTTTTGGAAATCGAATTCTGTAGTATTTTGTTTTGATAGTGGAGAATCTTCTCGAGGTGAGGAGCAGAGACGTAGGTCGAGGGTTAACTGAACTCCGTGATCGTATTTGTTATTTGTGATTGCCTTGGCGTATTATTCTTGTGCTCATTATTTTCATATTGCCTTTTGGCTCTTGTTTATATCGCCCTTTGTATTATTCTATATCCTTGCACATATCATTTGTATACATTACATTGCTAGGATTTTGTTAGTATGTTTTAATTTGGCATCAATATCGGATTAGATTAGAAAATACCCCATTTTTTTATTTTTAGGGTACTTTCACCGCTGATAGCGTGTCGACATCACATTAAATGCTTGATAGGTGTCATCATTTCTCCATCCCCGACACTATTTATGATACATCGGACCACGTCGGCTTCATGCGCCGCCTATCCCATCTCATTAATAACGAAGTGACAACGCCCATCTTGTGATCACTCTACGACCGACACTTGTAAAGTCGACGCTGACTTAACCGCCAGCTCAGGCTCGGTCAAAAAGACTAGACTACCCCTCTTGCACGGCTATAAAAAGAAAAACTATTACAAATACAAGGGTAAGCAATTCCTTTGTTTTTTTCTCCATTCCACTGTACTTCAGAAATATTAATGTTCTTATTTTTCCACTTAAGTATATAGCTAACTTGATCGTCGGAGGAACAACGGGGAACTAGTCTCCGTCCTCTTACGAATTGTTACACGTGCAGGGATAAACAACCCAACTCCTAAATGAATATTCAAAAAAGTGAGTGGCCCTCGTATCAATCTAGTCCATATTACCTTCCCTTTGACCTACGTGATTTAGACCATCAACAAATGGATAATGGAAGAAGATGACAGGCGTGACTTCAGTTTCAAATCTCAAGGATAAGGACTGACATAATAATCAAGCAATTAGTGCGGAGGCACAAAAGATAGCGCCTATTGTTCCAAGGAAGAACATTTTCACCTGATAGTAGAGCAAATTACCAAGCTTCCGCGATTGTCGTGAAAATATCTGACGGTTCTGAATTATTGTACAAATGATACATCAAGAGGTGAACAATTCTTAGGTAGGGGCTGGTACTCAGCTTTTGGCCTGTGAATCCTTGTCTGGCCAAGAAATTTGCAAAATAGACCTATTTTGCTAAATATTTAGCAAAACAGACCGTTTTGCAAATTTTTCCTCGCCTGGCTAAGGTTCCCATTGTATTAAAAAAACAAAAAAAAACACCGATTGACTAAGTGAACCCGTTAGTTATGATGAAGATATGTTGATATATCATTAATATTATAATACGTGGGTCATGTCGGTTCAGGCCCATGAATTGGCCCACCGGGTTCAAGGTCGTGTTAGGTTTGCTCCAAGCCTGTGTGTGTCAGAGTAGGATGGCTCTATGATCATGGGTCTAGGACCGGACCCGGCCCAGCCCACAAGTCGCTCAGGGGCGGGTCGGGCTAAAATCAGCCCACGGCCCATGGGTCATGGGTCAACCCATGAGTTTTTCTTTTAATTTTTTCCTTTTTAAAATATATAAAACTTATATTTATATTTATAAAATTAGATTTCCTTTATTTTTTTCTCGAATTGCGTAAAGACAAAAGAAATAAAACCTGCACACCACCTAGCAACTCCTTCATATTCTATTCTAATTTCTCTACATATAGTGCCAAAAAAAAGTTCTAACAAAACCAGAACTCTAACCTGGAACAAAACACCACATCCAAACAGTAACAACACTTAACAAGTACATATCAATCCTCAACAAGCATTCCTTTAAAAAAAAACGAAATAAAGAACCTGATTTTGGAGGATCTTCAGCGATTACCCCAATAAATCCAACTCTCGAACAATACCCACTCCCCCTCCCTAACTTTCTATCCTGTTTCCAGAACCATTCATCACAATACCTTCACCATTTCCTTGCATCTCTCAACGACAACACTTATCCCTACCTCCAACATCCGCATCCGAGACCGAACCCGCTCTCCCCCTCGCATCATAAACGCACATCACCCCAGACTCCTCTTTTGTCCTAACATTCCCTCTGACAACTTAACACACCAAAAATCCATATCCACACACACATATATACCCCCCCCTTGGTGCCCCCCACAAAAACCCAAGCAAATTAAGCATACACGAACGCATCAAACACGGCCCAAATTAAGGCATCGAGAAATCATGGAAATCGAGTCCCAGCAACCGAAAAAACCCACTAACAAGTTCCTAACTCGCTCCCTCATCATCCTCAACTTCACCCTGCTCACCCTCGGCGCCACCGCCACTCCCCTCCTCCTCCGTCTCTACTTCCTCGCTTCTGATCTCGACCCAGCTCGGTTTCACCGCGCTGTTCGCGTTCTTGGTCGTGAGGCAGAAGTTCACGGCGTTCTCGATCAACGCGGTGGCGTTGCTGAGCTTCGGAGCGCTGGTGCTGGGGATCCAAGCCAAGGGGGACCGGCCGAGGGGGGTGAGTAGGGGGCAGTACTACCTGGGCTTTGTTATGATGCTCGGCACGGCGGCGCTTTATGGGCTGGTGTTGCCGTTGGTGGAGTTGGTGTATAGGAAGGTGAAGGGGACGGTGACGTTTACGTTGGTGATGGAGATGCAGTTTGTTATGGGTCTGTTCGCTACTTTGTTCTGTGTTGTGGGGATGATCGTGAACAAGGATTTTCAGGTGGTAGCTAGCCCCGTTCTGAACTCTACGATCTCTTGTTGTTTAGATTGAAATTTTCGTAGTAAATTAATATATTTAATTGAAAATTTTAACGAGATCCTCTTCAATATTAAAAAAATATGAAGAAATGACTACAATAATTTAAACCTCCTATTATTTAATATACGGCGGCTACATGAGATTCTGATTCATTCTAAATATAATACTCGTATTAATGTATTCATAAATTGTACTCTATCCTATCTTACATTCAACTAAAGAAATGACAACCGTGTGTTAGCAACATCGACATTGAAAATTGTGATCTCTTGAAGATCACGAGGGATTCAAGTAAGAAATCCTCAAGGGGTCCTGTGCATAATCCCTCCAAGATCATGTGGGGTTTTTTTTATTTAATGAGGCATTTTTTTAAAAGGAATTGTGGGTTTGATTTTTGACACTAATTAAAATAGTTAAAGGGGGATTATCTCTAGAACAACAAAACTTAAGGAGGTTTTATGAAATTTACCTTCATTTTTTTGTGCATATTTGAAATTTGCTCCTCCTAGGAACAGAAAAGGTATTACATGAGCTTTACCTTCATTTTTTTGTGCATATTTGAAATTTGCTCCTCCTAGGAACAGAAAAGGTATTACATGAGCTGGGGAGTAAAATTAAAAAAAAAAAACTGAAAAAAAATCTTCTGCTGAACTGCACTGTAAATAGTCCACAAAAAAGTTCATAATAGGTTTTGGTTTCTTTGCAATATTGAATTATATAGGCCATCCAACAAGAAGCCAAGAACTTCAAATCAGGAGAAACAAGCTACTATATGGTGCTCATTTGGTCCGCAATCTTTTCTCAGTTCTTCTACCTCGGCATCATCGGTGTCATCCATTACACCTCCGCCCTCCTCTCCGGGATAATCCTCGCCGTTCTCGTCCCTGTCATTGAGATCTTGGCCGTGATTTTCTTCAATGAATCCTTCAATGGAGGGAAGGGTGTTGCTCTTGCACTTTCAATTTGGGGGTTTGTTTCTTATTTCTACGGAGAGTACAAAGTGATGAAGAAACATAAAGCTCTTGCAGTTGAACCTAGCGTCGACTCAAATAGCTCGACTTGAATTTAGTCCAAGTCCTCTCTCACTATAAACAAGTGCTCATCATTTTTTTTGGTGTAATATATTTCCCCTTTGAATAATTTTTTTCTTATGTATTTATTTACCTAAGTATATACGATATGCCAATTTATTTTGCAAAATTAGCTGCCAAATACTCTGCTTGACTGATACGATATGACCTCATCACTTTTCTATCTTTTTATCTTGGAGCAAAATGAGTTGTCTCAATATATCCATTTTTTCTTTAAATAATATGAGAAATATGAAGAACCTTGGTATCAAGTTTCTCCATTGAACTTGATAATTAAGTGACGTGGACAGATCTTATCCCTACATCACGCCTTGAAAATAGAGCCTCAATCACTTTTCACCTACTCCAAAATAGAGGCTCTACTTTGGAGGAGTGATATAGGGGTCAAATTTATCCACCTCACTACCAAGTTCAATGAAAGAACTTGGTACCAAGGTTCTTCATATTTCTCATATATATATATATATATATAGTTGTATTGTGATATATCAAGGATCTTCTCTAATTTGTTTTTCTCGTGACGTTTTTTCTTCAATCTTATTTTCTCGTTTTATATTGTGGATCATGGTAATAGTTTTTTTTCTTTCTCTTTCTTTTTCTAATTTAATACGTTTCTCGGATGAGCTGAGGAATCCGCCAGCTGCCTATTAAGTTAAAACGAGCTAAGCATATCCAATCATCGAACTTATCTTCTTCTCATTGCAATTTGTATGATCAAAATTAAAGAACAAAAAGATAATAGGCTCGTAAACATAAGACCTAACAAAAGGGTAACTTGATAAATAAAGAAAATTGAAAAGGTGTATACTGACAAGACAATTAATGCACCAAGAAAACAATTCAAAATAGTATATAAAAAATAGAATTACGTCTCACACGTAAGATAGCATATATAGTTCTTAAGGGACAGTAAAGATCATATAAAGGTTGTGGGTTGAAAGTGAGAAGAATAAGTGAAGTACACGAATAGTAACATGAACTAGCAAAATGCGAGTGTAAAAACCGGTAACGGCTAAAGAGCTAGATAAGACATTGAATAGTTCAGTTTGTATCAGTGGTCAATATCAAATTAGGTGACCAGGTCAACTATGCAAGAAACGTCTCCTGGAAAACTAAAAAACATTATTTTTCGGGTTAATTGCATTTACCCTAAGGTGTAGTGTAATTACGCGGGTGACCTTGAAGTTTGCATATCTATAGGTGAACCTGAGATTGTTGATTGTAATTACACGAGTGAGCCTAGATTCTGTTGACAAGTAAACAATTTTTTTAATTTTTTTATGATCTGGAGTTCTTGTTTGATGTCAATAAGCATTAGAGTTAGGGTTGGGGTTTTGGGTAGGGTTTGGAGTAGCCATGAGGGTTGGGTTCGGAATAGAGTTATAGCAATGATTACTCACATTGTTATAACCCTAATCTAAAATCTAGTAGTTAGCAATTGTTGTTATAAACTTATAATATTAACCATAACCTAATCATAGGCGTAACCCTAACTCTAATCCTAATTAGCAGACAAAAAGAAGTCCAAATCAGCTAAAGATAAATAGTGTTAACTCACCGACGGATTCTAGGGTCACTTATGTAACTACAATCAGCGATTTGAGGGTTGCTTGTATAGATACCCATATTTCAAGGTCACCGGTGTAATTACACAATACTTTAGGGTGCCAAAACGTAACCAATTAATTCTTATTTTTCACCGTATGCTACATAGATATAAGGTGTCACTAAACAAAAATACATGGATATAAGGTTACAAGCTTGATATAAATATCAAACAGTACCGAGCAAACTTAGGCCTGTCCATCCGGGCCGGGTAAAACTGGAGCCCGGACCCGGACCCGGGTACCCATGGCCGGGCCCGCTTGGGCCCGACCGGATTTTTTTTATTTTTTTATTTTTTTATTAATTTTTTTAAATTTTATTTAAATTTTAAATTATAAAAAAAAGACAAGAAAAATTAATAAAAAATAATAATTTTATTAATCACTTAAAATGACATATATTACAAATAAAAAAATGATAAAAACAAATTCTTTACTAATAATTAATAAATCATTTACAAATTATAAGTACAAATTTATTTTGGAATTCATCGCATCACAATAGATAAGTACATCTCAACTAGGTTGGCACCTACTCACCTATATCACTATCATTTGCAACTATTTCCAAAATAATTCTTTATAAATTTTAAGCTAAGATATAAAAATTACAATTTATTCTTTATATCTATCTGCTAGTCTCAATTTTTCAAATTTATCTTCAATTCCAGCCATCCGATCGATGCCTTGCGTTCGCTTCTCGTACCTCCACTAATCTTGTAAGCACATCACCGCTTGTACAGTATACGGATCTAAGCATGTCCTGTGGTCGTCGATCAAACGTCCTGCTGTGCTGAAGGCGGATTCCGAAGCTACCGTCGAAACCTGCACTGTTAGTAAATCACGAACCATGGTGGAAAGTATAGGATATGAAACTGATCCATATACTTTCCACCATTGCAAAATATCTAAAGCATTTCCTTGACATCTAACTAAAGAAGCAGAAAAATATTCATCTATTTCAGAAACCTCCGATGATGACGATCCAAGTCCAGATCCACCAGTTAGCTCGGCTACCATTGCATACCTATCAAAACTTACACTTTTACCTCGGGCTCGGGATGAGCTCGAAGAAACCGAAGCTGCAGACTGTTGTGCAGCTACACCATGTCTAGCTGCATACTCATCATATAAAGTTTGAAAATAATTTCTAATAAGTAAATGATGAGTAGTAGCATTCAGGGTGGTTCCATCATCTAAGTCTATAACCTGTCCACCATACAATGACTGTAACAAACTTCGAAGGCCAATATCCTTCAAGCATGGATCAATAAGAACCCTCAAACCAAAAATATGAGGAATAGGCCTAAAATACTTATTAAATTTGCTCTCCATTTCAAAAACCATAGGTCCAAAAGTAGCATCCAAACGATATTTATCAAAAAAATTTTGAATATTTAAAATTTGTAAAGCAGCTAAAGTAATGGTTGGATAATAACAGCCAGATAATAACATGGTAGCATCATAAAAAACTTGTAACATTTCATTTAAATTACATATAACTGTCCATTCATCTTCAGTTATTCCATAAGTGCTACCAGAACTAGAACTAGAAGCATAATAGTTTATAAAATCAGTTATAATGTCTTTATATTCTATTGCTACACTTAACATTGCATATGTGGAATTCCACCTATGGTCAACATCTTTTGGAATTAGTCTAGGCTTTACATTTTTTCTTTTACAAAATTGTTTTCATATTTTAAGTCTTTGTTCAGAAGCATTATGCATGTAAGCAACTGTTCTAACCTTTTCTATCATGGGTTTAATTTCAGTAAATGCACTTTGAACAATTAAATTTAAAATATGACAGATACACCTAATATGAAAAAGATCACCATGACATGACAATGACAGAGTTGATCAAGATAAAATCAACAGCTACATTGTTATTACTTGTATTATCTAGTGAAAGAGAAAATATTCTTTCTGAAATTTCTAATTTCATAAGTTCTTCAATTATTAAATTTGCAACATTAATACCAGTATGTTTTAAACATTTGCCATTTTTCATCAATCCAGTGTGCTGTGATACATAAATATCCAGTTTGTGCTCTAGATGTCCAAATATCAGAAGTTAAAGAAAAATTACAGTTTAAAATTTTAAAATAAGAAATTATTTTTCCTTGTTCTTCCTGATAATATTTTAAAATATCACGTTGACAGGTTTGACGAGAAGTTTTTTTAAATGCAGGATAAAAACCATATCTAAACATATCTTCAAATTCATCATCTTCTACTAATTTAAAAGGAAGGTTTTTAAGAATGATAAACATGATTACGCATTTCCTGGTTCTAGCAGCGTCATAGTTCCAACTACCGAGACTACCAGAAGAGGAGGATTGAGAAATCATAGATTGTCGGATATCACCTTGAGGAGGCTGGCCTTTGTTGTGTTTATCTAAATGGCGTTTGAGATGGTTGGTGCCGCTCTTATGATGAGCTTGAAAAATCTTGCCGCACAACGCACACTTAGCCTTCTGGGTGAGGATCCTACCGTGTTCATCCTTGGTGACATCGATCTGTAGGCATCGAAAGTTGCCTATAGGTCTCCACGAACAACTCAGTGTTAAGGAACGACAAATGAACGTCACTATCTGGTTCACAGGAGTTCGATTGACGTCGGTGAACGCCTGAAGTGAATCGACGAACTACGTGAGCTGACAGAATTTCGGAATAACGAAGGCACAGGCTAATCGAGAGCCCCGCGATGTTTATAAAAAGAACAACGCCTTTCGTGTCTCATTCGTTCTATGGATAATCCAACCATCGGGGCTGATAGAACTCTTCGTCAGAATTCCAACGCAATTCGAATCACTAAAATCAAAATTTTACTATTTTTGGAGTTGATTTACCATGCCCAATTGATTTTACAAAATCGTGTATGTCAGCAGTTTTTCAGAAACTGTAAATTTATGTTCAAATATTTATTTCTCTCAACTGGGAAAAGGTTTTTCAGAAATTCTTTCTCTGACATGTTATTCTACATGTCTAGAACATTTCCACAAAATTAATTTTACAAAACAGCTACGCACTGCTACAGTAACTCCGGTCGACCGGACATGTCTCTGGACGCGGTTACTTACAGCGGAGTGTCTCGGATTTTTAGAGACACCCCAGGGGTGTCCTAGATTTTTGGGGACACCCCAGGGGCATCCTAGATTTTTGGGGACGCCCCAGAGGCGTCCTAGATTTTTTGGGGACACCCCAGGGGCGTCCTAGATTTTTAGGGACACCCCAGGGGCGTCCTAGATTTTTGGGGACACCCCAATCACTCAAATCCAAGTTCGGACGAAGAATTTATGACGAAAACAATCAAACATATGCAACGGAGCGTCTCAGGCTGAACTGGGACACCCGGGGTGTCTCGGGAAAGTCGAAACACCCCAGGGGTG